GGACCACACAGCTCTTCTTAAAATCGAAGGCGTTTGTGCCCGAAATAAGGACCCCTGGTGGCACAGTGGTAAAGCACTCAGCTACTAACCAAAAGGTCAGTGGTTGGAACCCACTGGCTGCTCCATGGGAGAAAGATGTGGCAGTCTGCTTCCATAAAGATTACAGCCTTCAACACCCCATGGGGCGGTTCCACTCTGTCGTATAGGGTTGCTGTGAGTCGGGATGGACTTGACAGCAACAGGTTTTTTATACCCAAGAGGGAACTGAATTCTATTTAGGCAAGAGATGTGCTTATGTGTACAAAACAAACACCATGACTCCTGGTGGCAAACCTGACAAAACCAGAGTGATCTGGGGAAAGTTAACTTGCACCCATGGAAACAGTATCATGGTCTGTGCCAAATTCTGAAGCAACGTTCCCGCTAAGGCCATTGAACATAGGATCTGTGCAATACTGTACCCCTCAAGGATTTCAACTTATTAAAAATAAATTGTCGGGGGGTGGGGACACGTCTGTAGGTTAAAGCAGTTCTTGGACTTGCGGTTTCTGGTGTATAGATGAGGGCACTGGGCCCGAGGGGTAGAAAGGCTGACTTTCTGCCCTTAGTTGGGTGACCTTGAGAAAAGCTACCTCTCCACTCTGAACCTCTGTCTCTTTATTTGTAAGACAAGAAGGCTGTCAACCTGGCCTCCCCTTCGGGTTTGCGGTAAGACAGCGTGGACTATATGGTATCATTATTCAGCACTGAGTTCTATGAGGAACAGAAGCAGTAAACATAGTATTAAGCCAATTAACTGGAATGTCCCATTAAAGCATGGCCCTGAACCTCCAAACCAAGAAACCAAATCTCATGAGGTGTTTGGATGTACATAAGCAGCCTCAGCAGCTGGTCTTTTTGTTGTTACTGTTGTGAGTATTGTAAGTAAGTGAGCCTCTCCCTGCTTTGGGGGCTCAGGTGAGCCTCTGAGCTTTGCCTCCCTCCATTTCAGCTCTGGCTTTAAAGGAAGATGAGCCCAAGTGCTCAGGCCGCTGCTGGGCCAGCTGTGACCGGGTTTCGGCCCCTGCCTGTGGCAGACACACGCCAGGCAGGATATACAGGAACCCAGGCCTTCTGCTGCTCCCTACCTGTGTGGATTTGGGCAGATCGCTTCCCTTCTCTAGATCTCAGTTTTCGTCATCTGTAAAATGGGAATTGGAATTGTCTCCAAGGTCATGTCTAGCTGGGGAGCATGTCACAAGGACAGCTCCGTCTTTGTACAGCCTTTGTACCATTCAGCAGGTCCGAGGTAGGGCTTGGACATCTGTCCTTTTTAACAGGATCCCCAGGAGATGTTCCTTGTACTGACAGGTTTGGAAACCTCTCCCTGCTCTACAGACTCTGACCTTGTGTGCACCAGTTTTCACCAATGGAACCACCAAGAAGGGCCTTAGAGTGAATAGCTCCCTTGTGTGTTCCAGGCCCTGTATTTGACACCTTCCTCGTGCTTTCTTATTCCCTTACTCTTCCTTTGCCCTCTCACCAACACCATGAGCTGGTATTATTATCCCCATTTTCCATATGAGGACCCTAACGCACAGGGAGGCTCAAGGCCTCGTTATGGGTGGGTGGTGGGACTTGGTTTCCAACTTAGATATGCCTGACTGAGGAGCCCATGTGGCCTCCCATACCATGTCACCACCAGGTAATACAAACATACCCACACCAAGGCCCAATCACTCAGAATTTCTTTGCCCCCACCCCTACCCCGCCAACCTTGGAGCCTGTGGGGCAGCAGGCAGGGGTGATTGAGCGCCACCTAGTGGTGGTCTTTAAAGATGCTTTGGGCGGCCACTGTCTTCACCGGGTTAATGTGGCTGGAGTGAAGGGATGCCCTGGCAGAGTGGAAGCGATGACTCCCAAGGGTCAAGGTGAAGGTCATGAAGAACCTGGACTAAAGGGCATCAACGTTTAGGTCTGTGGAGTAGGGAGTCACTATAGCTTCTTGAGCAGAGTAGCAAAGTGATAACACTCCTTTAACTTTTTGGAAGTCATTAACATACGTTTTTACCTTTTTATCCTTGCACCTCCCGTGCGACAAAAGGAGGAAAGGTTTGCTTAGCCCGTTTTACACATGGACAAGGTGAGGCTCAGAGAAGTCCAGGGCCCTGTCCAAGTGCCTTGCAAGTTAGTGGCAGAGGCCCTCCTAACCCTTTAATCACACTGACCTGAGAATGATGGTGGTGACAATGGAATGTCGGGGGGGGGGGGTGGCAGCAGCAGCTAGTATTTAGTGAGTTTGTAGGATGACAACTCAGGTAAGTACACTTGTTATCCCTATTTACAGGTGAGGAGACTGAGGCTCAGAGAAGTGGATGAGCTTGCCCCAAGGTGACACAGCTAAGTGGTAGCAGAAAGATTTGAATCCCAGCAATCTGAAACTCTTACCCACTGTCTCTTCTATGAGCTGAGGAAGTCTCCCTGCCCAGATGCCCGCGAGATGGACACTTAGTTCCGCTTACTCCACTACCCTCGTAAGCTGGACTGAGAAGCTCTAGCCCCCATCAGCCAGTGATGCCCACTCTCACGTTACTCTTAGGAATTTACTCTCTGCTGTGTGGCCCTGGGTGAATTTCTTCCCCTCTCTGAACCTCGATTTCCAAATCTGTGAAATGCAGGGTTTAAACTATTGAGCTCTGAGGTCCTGAAATTCCTTGAGTCCCTGAATAACAACACTGACTTAAGAATTTCTACCTTGCCAAAAATTTGAATTTGTCCTTGGATCAATCACAGGAGTAAAAACAATCTCTCATTCACTACTCTTCTTTTCTCTCTCCCTCTCTCTCTGTTTTCAGCCTAATTATGGTTAACTCTCTGTTATTTAGAGACTTATTATCCAAGCTCATTATAAGTAATTATTTAGTCTGGAGGGGAAGCAGCACCACTGCTAGTTTAATTTAATGCTTACCTAGTTCACTTAATTAGCAATAATTCTTGGCAAAATGATGGAATTCATGGGGTCCTGGCTGGGTGGGTGGGTGGGGAGAGTCTGAGTGCTGTTCTTGGAAAAATAAACAAGGTTGCAGGGCAGAATGTGGGAGGAAGCAAGGAGTGCCTTGCCAGTGAGTTGGCTGTTCCGTCTGTCCAGGCCGAGGCTGGCCACAAGAATGAAAGCCCATAGATGACACAGAGTTGGAAGGACCTTAGGTCAAGTAACACTTATTAAGTGCCTGCTGTGTGCCAGACGGAGCCCTGGTGGCACAGTGGTTTTAAGAGCTATGGCGAGCTACAGCTGCTAACCAAAAGGCTGGCAGTTTGAATCCACCATCCGTTCCTTGGAAACTCTATGGAGTGGTTCTACTCTGCCCTATAGGGTTGTTATGCCTTGGAATCAACTTGATGGCAATGGGTGGGTTTTTGGGTGTGCCAGATAGTGTGCAAGGCTCTGGGAAAACCTCGTTTCTTATGGCCAGTATGTGGCACTTGCATATCTGGTGACATTCAAGATAATTTAAGTACTATCTACCTTAGATAATTCAACTTTCCTAGTGGGTATGGTATTCTCTGTTTAGCCGTTGGATACTACCGTGTCTTTTGCATCTCCCTCACCCTTTTCACAAAGGGAGGCCTTAGGCTCGAGGCCTCGGGCAGGCAACAGAATCTAGCTGGAGATCACCATTGTTCAGCTTTGATTTTTTAAAAGTGGTTTTCATCTATTTATGCCAAATGATACTCACTTTCCATGTACTGACGTGATATAAAGTTTCCATTGTAGTAAAATAAGTGAATTACCATATAGAAAAATGTTAGGTAAAACACAGTCGAGGTGGTACACAGATGTGGCAAAGTGCCCAAGGAGAGAGGAGGGTGGGCAAAGGCGCGTTCAGTGCTCTGGGTTAGAGATTATCTGGCCAAGGAAGGCAAACAGGCCACCTTTTCCGCTCCCACGCCCTGAGCAGACACAGTCATCAGTCACAGGATATCTGCTAGACCCAAATGCTGCCTCAGAATCCTTCTCAACCCAGCGCTTCAGGCACCTAACAAGGGTGTAGTCCAGTCACCTTTCCCAGCCCACCATAGCTTCTTAAAGCTCCTCCCAGGTCCCCATACAAGCCATGCTAGTCCAAACCAGGACATCCCTTTACCCTCTCAGTATCTCAGTCTCCTCACCTCTAAAATGGGGGGTAATTGTACCTACCTCATATGAGGATCAAATGATTTAAAATACTATGTGCAATATAAGCAATTTCACTCCTAGGTATATACCAAAAAGAATTGAAAACAGAGACTCAGATAGATACTTCCCATCACCCCCACGGCCCCTTTGCCATTTCAGAGAAGATCATTTTCCCTCAGTCCTTCATTGGTCCTCCCCGTCCACTTTGTACCAGCGGGTAAACTGGGTCTTGCTTAAAATCCCACAGATTAATCACAGAGCCACAGCCAAACTGGAACACCTTCCTGGCTCAGCCTGGGGGCGTCCATCTGGGTGTCTGCCCAGCCTTGGAGCTGGGAAGCTGGGGCCCTTCCCTGGAAGTGCCACTCCTGTCCCCACCCTGAGTCCTGACCTACCTGTCCCGAGACCCACCTGAGAGTCAGCAGGTTACATTTCCCAGGTGATGTGTGTCTCCCTAAAGGAGCCTTCAAGCAACACAAGGTCTCAACCCAAGAACCGACGATGAGTGATCTCAGACAGAGCAGTGGGTGGCAGGGTGGGGCAGTGGGTCCCCAAAAGTATGCCCACCCTGCTTCTCCAGGGCTGCCTCTGGCCTCTCCCTGTGATCAGTAGTATTGCAGCCCACGTTTTAGTCTCCCTCTGTCATGACACAGGTCCCACAGGGAACTCAGACCCACGGTGTGGCCCATGCAGCCATCCTCATGGCCTGTCCCATCCCCACCCACCAGAAGCTGCTCCAAGACACCAGAAAACAAAAACAAAGAGACCGTGGGAGAGCAGAGTGTCTCCCTTGTATCAGCTTTATTAGTGACTTTTAGGTTCCCATGGGCCTCGGCCTAGTGGCTCAGGCCACCCTCTTGCTCACACGCTCATAGGACACGCCTCCGACGGTGCAGACCTGAAAGAAGCCGGAACAAGAGGAGTCAGTGCCCAACTATCAGGCATGGACCCTAAGGCAACCATGGGGCACAGAAGAAGGAAGGCGAACTCCAGTCCCAGCTCTGAGAAGCTGTGGGTCAGCTGCACCCCTTCTCTGTGCCTCAGTTTCCCAATCTGTTCCCTGAGTCACTGTGTGGACTCAGGTGGTGAAAGTGCTAACCAGCTGTAAGGGGTGATGTGGGTCTTGATGAGATAACTTTCCATCTGTCCATTTCAACTCACCCATGCCAGGCATTTCTCTTGTATTATCCCGTTTGATCCTCCCAACCACCCTGTGAGGGTGTCTCCATTGTACAGATGAGAAAACTGTAGTTTAGAGAAGTCCAGTCACCCTCCAAAGGTCTAGAGGCCACATGCAGCCACTGCACCTGTTAATGTGCTTGGTGATGGGAGGATATTGACCATGCCCTTAGGAAGCCTAAGGTTGAGGGAAAGGGCAGGCAAGGGGATGCTGCTCATTGAAGGCCCACTGAGTGCAGTACCCTGAGCCCAATGCCATCGAGACATGCTGTCACTGGATGTGCACATGTCATCAGTTGGTTCTGATACACAGTGTAGGAAAGCAACATTCTCACAGGAAGAGGGGGTGGTATGTGGGCAAACCAAGAGGTATGGGAATGCCCAGAGGAGGCAGGGAACCATTCTGACCAGGCAAGGAGAGAGGGGCACACATTTGGACAGAATCCTGAAGAATAAGTAGGATTTGGAAAAGCAAACAGAAGAAAAAGGAATTCAGAGCAGAGGGAGCTGCATGGGCAAAGAAAGGTAGGTGGGAGAGGGTGCGGCTAGCTCAGGAACAGTGGCCGGTCCAAGGAGCTGGGCAGAGGGTGTCTGCTGGGATGGGGAGAGCGCACCCTTGTTTCCTTGGGGAAAGGAACATATGGCCCTGAAGATGAGACTGAGGATTCTGGGCTTGATTCATTGGTTTGAGGAAGCAGTTCAAAGGGGAGCCATATGAGGTGATGGGTAATTTGCATACGGGATGTATGGAAGATGGAGTGGGGCGGCCAAAAACAAGGCTGGGTCTCAGTCTAGAGGAGGGGCGATGATAGCATGGTGAGTGGTGCTGAGGACTGGCTGGAGGCAGGAAGAGGGATGCTCACAAAATGCACTCTATTGGTGGGGGAGCAGGGGGGTGGAGGGAAGCACCAGGTTTCCCATGGCTGTGGGCAGAAAGGAGCCAGCAGGACACTCACCTCCACCAGCTTGTCACCCACGATCTCTGAGGTCTGGTTGTAGTTGGGGAAGTCCACCACCACCTTTCCGCCATCCATCTTCACGGTGACCTAGAAAGGAAGTGTACCACTGAGCTGAGTAGGTGAGTCCCCCAATGCAGGCCAGCCTCTCAAGGATGAAGGGCCCACCTGCACTCCCAGCTGCATCTCCAGCAGATTTACCTTGTGGATATACAATTACATCAATCCAACAATATAGATAACCTTGGGCAAGTCACTTAATAGCTATGCCTCAGTTTCTTCATCTCTAAAATGGGGGTACAATTGTACCTATTGCATAGAGTTGTTGTGAGGATTAAATGATTTAAAATAATATATGCAATATAAGCAATTCTACTCGTAGGTATATACCCAAAAGAATTGAAAGTAGGGACTCAAACAGATGCTTTAACACCAGTGTTCATTCCATTATTCACGATGGCCAGAAGGTGAAAACAACCCAAGTGGCCATCGACAGATGAATGGATAAACAAAATGTGATACATACACACCACCAAAACCAAACCATTTGCCATCAAGTCGACCCCGACTCATGGCGACACACAATGGAATCTTATTCAGCAATAAAAAGGAATGGAATTCTGATACGTGCCATGCCATGGATGAGCCTTGAAAACATTATGTTAAATGAAATAAGTCAGCCACAAGAGGACAGATGTTGTATGATTCCACTTATGTGAAGTATCTAGAATAGGCAAATCCATAACAGACAGTAGAAGTTAGCAAGGGCTGGGGGGAGGGGGAGAAGAAAAAAAAAAGCCTATGTACACATAAAGTGCTCAGTACAGTGCCTGGACATAGTAAGCACTCCAGAAGTGTTAACTACCAAGTTGTGATCATCATCAATGCAATGATGCTGCTAATGTCATCCAAGGATATTGACTGCAGCATTATTTGTAACAGTGAACAGCCTAATATCCAACCTAGGTTATCCAATAGTGAATAACCAAAATACTCGTCAATGAAGGCAGAAGTTCAATAAATGATGGCTTTCTGACAGAGACTGGAGAAAAATGTAGAACAAAATTCTAACTCACAAAAAAAGACCAGACTTACTGGCCTGACAGAGACTGGAGAAACCCCGAGAGTACGACCCCTGGACACCCTTTTAGCTCAGTAATGAAGTCACTCCCGAAGTTCACAGTTCAGCCAAAGATTAGACAGCCCTGTAAAACAAAAAGAGACTAATGGGGCACAGCAGTCCAGGGACAAGGACTAGAAGGCAGGAGAGGACAGGAAAGCTGGTAATGGGGAACTCAAGTTTGAGAAGGGACGGTGTGTACATGTCATGGGGTTGTTAACCGTTGTCATAAAACAATATGTGTACTAACTGTTTAATGAGAAACTATTTATTCTGTAAACCTTCATCTAAAGAACAATAAAAAAAAATTTTTTTTAAATAAAAATAAAAGTAAATGATGGCCTTTCCATACTGTAGGATATGGTGCAGCCATTAAAAAGAATAAGGCAAATTGATGTGTACTGACGTAGACACATCAGTAGGAGATTAATTTTTTTTTTTTTAATCCCACTTGCAGAATGTGAATATTATGATGACTTATTCTCCACCTTGGCAGTCTGGGAGCAAAGTACTCTCCCTTCACAGCTGGGATCTGCAGAGGGACCCAGAATGAGTTGAAGGCCTGAGGGGCCAGCCCGGGTGGGGTGGAGGCAGACCTCCACCTTTCAGTTCTCTGCTGCCCAAGACACACTAGCCTGGGAAAATCAGAAATGCATGCGTTGGCTGGGGGCAGGCCTAGCAGGAATTCATCGAGGCATCTAAAACCTTCCTTCAGAAAGGCCTACCAGGCTGAGTCCATCAGCAGCCTGGTGTCGTCTGTCCTGGATGGTGGCATGAACACTGCAGAGGCAGCACGCTGTGGAGACAGCCTGACCATTAGAGGCAGACAGCCCGGTCCTAACCCTTGTTTGGCCATTTGTTGGCTGCAGGAACTTAGGCACATTACTTTGCCTCCCTGAGCCTCAGTTACTTCACCTGTAAAACAAAAACAAATTGCTTTTTTTTTTTTTCCAAGCATTTACTATGTGGCAGGTACTGAGCTACTTGCTTTCCATGCATTGTCTTGTTTAATCCTCACCATGCCTCTTGGAGTCAGGCACTGCACCTAGTCCCATTTTGCATCCTAGAGAGCTGAGGCTAGGAGAGGTGAAATGACTTGTCAGAGGCCGCACTGTTGTAGTTGGGGCATCACGGTTTCAAACGCAGCTGAGTCTGACTCCACGGCCTGGGATCTTCATCTCTGTGTCACACTGGGAGGCAGCATTAAAAAGTGGTCATGCCCTCTGGAGCCAGCTGCCAGGGTGTGGAGGCCTATTCCTCACTTATCAGCTATGTGACCAGGCGACAAGCTACTTAATCCCATGACTCATCTGCCCCATCAGTAAAATGGGGATAATAGTTGTATGGTGATTAGGGTCCAAGCCATGGTCTTTTCAATTGCTACATATACATGTGAAAGCTGGACAATGAAAAAGGAAGATAGAAGGAATGATTCAACCAAATTTAGTGTTATCGTAGAATATTGACTACACTGTAGACTGCTAGAAGAATGAACCAATCAGTCCTAGAAGAAACACAACCAGAATGTTTCTTAGAAGTGAGGATGACGAGTATTCAGCTCACTTGCTTTGGACATGTCATCAGGGAAGACTGCTTGCTAGAAAAGGACACCATGTATGGTAAAGCAGAGGATCAGCAAAAACAAGGGAAACCCTCAGTGAGATGGATTGACACAATAACCACAACAATGGGCTCAAATATACCAATGATCACGAAGATGGTGCAGAACTGGGTAACATTCCATAAGGTCACCATGAGTTGCAGCTGACTTGATGGCAATTAACAACCACCACCACAGTTGTGGTGACCTCATAGGATTAACTGCATTAAGATGTGTATTTAGCAAGTATATGGGACATATTAAGTGCTCAGTAAATATTAGCTATTTTTATTGCTACTGTAGTGCCCGTTATTGACTGGAGCCAGGTGATTAACTTACCAAGTAACTCAGGCTTTTAGTGCTGGAGGCTAGACTAGAGGAAGAGGCCTCAGTTTGGGGAACAGGGAGGCCAAGTTTGAGATGGAGAGGGGAACCAGAGGCCTAAGGAAGGAGTGAAGGCAGCCTGTGGCCTCTCACCTTGAACTTCGTGCCCCCCATGGTCTCCATTTCGCACTCCTGGCCGACAGTGAACTTGTTGGTTATGGATTGGCCCCCGGGGTACTGCTGGGACCAGGTGAAGGTCTGTCCATCCTGCTGCACCTCTGTGATCTTGAAGTTGCGGCCCTTATCGACTGTGCTGCTGGGGAGACCTGGACAGGGGGACAAGCAGAGTGTCACGTAAGAGCTACTTACAACCCTGTGGCTTTGCAAAAGCTTTCCTCCAGGCTGGCCTGGAGGTTAAGAGCACTATCCCTCAGAGATGGCTTCAAATTTTTGAGCTGAGCAAGTCATTACCTCTCCAAGCCTCAGTGTTCCCTTTCGCAACATGTGGATGCTAAGGCCCATCTCACAGGGCTGTTGCGAGGATTAAATTAAATGTGATGGTGACTTGCAAAATTCCTGGTACGTAGTTGGTACTCAGTAATGGCACAAACGGTTTGTGCTTGACTGCTAACCAAAAAGTTGTTGGTTCAAACCCACCCAGTGGCTCTGTGGAAGAAAGGCCTGGTGATCTGCTTCTGTAAAGGTTACAACCAAGTAAACCCTATGGAGCTCAGTTCTACTCTATAACACATGGGTCACCATGAGTCAGAATCAACACGACAGCAATGAGTTTGCTTTGGGCTCTTCTGATAGACTATATTATATTAATATACTATAAATATAACAGACATTTGCCAAACTCACAAAGTTCTAGAATAAATGGGACCTTCAAGACGGTCTTCTAATGCTTTTACTTTACAGATAAGGAAACTGAGACCCAGAGTGGGAAAGGACTTCCTAGGGTCTCAGAGCAGATTAACAACAAAACCAGGTCTAGAACTGAGGTTGGCTGACTTTCAGTTCCACAACACTAGACTTTTGTGGACAAAACCAAGTCACTGTTCCTATAGGGGCCACTCCCAATAATGGACTCAAAAGGGCTCTCACCTCCCTAAGGCTCTGCTCCCTGGCCTCTCTGGCCCAGCTAGCAGGCAAGACGTGGCCACCAGAGGTAGGGCTCAGGCCCGCTGGGGCTGTTCCCTGAATCTTTACAGTCACACTGCCTCACACTTAGTGCACTGAGGTTTCTGCAGGATTGTCAAACATTGTCTCACTGTTTCCTCACAGCCAGCACTGGATGTGGAGAAGTAAGAGAAGGGGTGAGATCTTTGATCTTCCTGCCCTCAGTGCCCAGCGTGGTAAGAGGCCTGTTTGTTGAGTGGCTGAGTGAGTGGCCTGTCAAACCTGGAATCTACACTAACCTCTTGGCTATCCTGCCCAGACAGGATATGGTGACATCCCTCATTATAAGGTCTTGGGTGCTAATGTAACATCTGCCACTAACTTTTGATATGATCTTGGGCAAGTCACGCTGAGGTGCCCATCGGTAACAAGGGCTAAAACCAAAAAACCCCAAACCCATTGCCTTCAAGTCAATTCCAACTAGATCTACGCTATCAGGTTTCCAAGGCTGTAATCTTTACGGAAGCAGATTGCCACATCTGTCTCCACTGGAGTGGCTGGTGGGTTCAAACCTCCGACCTGGTTAGATGCCAAGTGCTTAACCACTGAGCCGCCAGGGTTCCTTCACACTAGGATAGCCCTTGCGTATAGCAGGTATTCAATAAATGTTGGAATGGGTAAGCAAATCAAGTCTCAGCTTCATCAGTTACTAGCTGTGTGACCTTGGACTAGAATTTGGCTTCTCTGGGCCTCAAGTTTGCCATCAGTAAAGTGGAGATACTAATACCTACTCTGTGAACTTTTTGAAGACAAAGACTGTGTATTCCTATTAACACCAGAGCCTAATTAACTCACTCAACAGATGTGTGAGTGAGTTAATTAATTAACATATTAATTAATGAAGTCCTGTCCTACTCTAACTGAGAGACCCAGGTTCCTGTCCTAGAGCTGGCTGTGACAAGCCAGCCCTGGGAAAGGCGTACTCAGGAGGAGCTCACTTACCGAGTTTCTTCATGAAAGCCTCATAATTCTTCTCACTCTCCACTTCATACTTGCCGCTGAAGGCCATGCTGCAGGGATAGTGGAGACCAGAGAGCAGGAGATGAGGAAGACGTCGGTGCCCAGGAGTCTGCTGCCCCAGCTTATACTCTCCCAGCTAATAAGGCTCAACCCCTAAATCACCCCATTTCTCCCTCCTGCCCCTGAAGAGGAAGCACTTGCACTTTTATGACGTGGGCAGGACCTGGAGACGGCAGAACCGAGAGGTTGTTCACCCTGGGGAGGTGCTGGCTGTCATCCCACTGTCATTCCCACCTTGGCCCATCCTCCTGCCCTCTGTCCATGCTCCCATCATCCTTTACTCCTTCACCCCCTCATTCATCAACCAAAGCACATTGAACACCTCCTGTATGCTTGCTGGCACCAAGGAAACACAGATGAATGAGACATAGAACCTTCCCCTAAAGAGCTTCACCCTTGTCAGAGAAAGGCCACACACCCGCAGAGAGCTCTTGTGTTACCAGAGCATGTTGCATCCCAGGAGAGAGACGTGTGGCCTGGAGGGTGGGGAAGGAGTGATGGTGTCCAGCTGCGGGATCTGGGATATCTTTGGGGAGGATCTGGCATCTGATACTAACATTGAAGGACCAAGAGGATTTGCATGTGTAGAGAAGCAGGAAAGTTGGAGGAGGCAGAGAACGTAGAGAGACAGTTTTCTAGAATGAGAGAACAGTGTGATGAAGGTGGGAAGGGCCGTGATGGAAAAAGGAAACTGAGTTTGGCTGCAGCATAGAGCTCGTGAAGGAAAATAGAGACAAGAAGAGTACAGAGAATGGGATTAGAGGGAAGCAGCAACACATAGACCCACAGAGAGGACTTGGAGGAGGAGGAGCTGGGCTGTATAGAAGACCTACTCTGTGTCAGACACTGGGCTAGGAGCTTTCAGAAATTGTGCTTTGTTCAAGGAATTCAGACCCCTGACTTCCAGTTCCGATACCACTTCGCACTTGATGACTTGGTTAGCTCAGAGTGATAACACCTTGCCCTGCCTACCTCATGGGATTGCTCTCTGAAGCAAACAAATTTATGGTGCAAGTATAAAGCACTGGATAAAGGCAATTATTATTATTATTTAAGGAAATCTCTGCATGTCTGCCTCCTTTCCTTGGGTCTGTACTCCATGAATCCCCATTATTTCTATCCATAGCAGAATTCACTACAGTTGCTGACTCACACACCTTGTGGAGTTAAGTGGTTTCTGAACTGATGAAACCAATTTTGCTACATTTTCCAGTGTCCAATCTTGCAATTCTTTACACCAGTCAGGGGTCTTATTTAAGTCTTAAAAAACAAACAAAAAACTATATACGTATACACATACACGCACACATACATAATTATATATACACTATATATATATCATCATGAATTTTTCTAATGATAAATTATAAATATTACAGTTTCAAATAATTCAGAGCAAATGACAGTCTCAGCAGAGGTGGCCCTTGATAACAGTTTGGTATGTGGCCTTCCAGACTTTTAAATGCATTAATATACATGTATTTTCTTATATAAATGGGATTATACTGTTCTGCCACCTCCTTTTTTTTTAAATTGTGCTTTAAGTGAAAGTTTACAGTTCAACTTAGTTTCTCATACAAAAATTTATACACCAATAGTTATGTAACCCTAGTTCTCTCCCTATACTGTGACAACACACTCCTCTTTTCCACCCCAGGTTTTCCGTGTCCATTCAACCAGCTCCTGACCCTCTCTGCCTTCTTATCTCGCCCTGGACAGGAGCTGTCCATTTAGTCTCATGTATCTACTTGAGCTGAGAAGCACAGTCTTCATGAGTATCATTTTATGTCTTATGGTCCAGTCTAATCTTTGCTTGAAGTGTTGGCTTTGGGAATGGTTTTAGTTTTGGGCTAACAGAGAGTCCAGTGGCCATGTTTTCTGGGGTCCCTCCAGTCTAAGTCAAACCATTAAGACTGAACTTTTTACTAGAATTTGAGTTCTGCACCCCACTTTTCTCCTGCTCCATAAGGGGCTCTCTGATGTGTTCCCTGTCACGGCGTTCACTGGTGGTAGCCGGGCACCGTCTAGTTCTTCTGGTCTCAGGCCCTATCTCCTCCTTTTATGTAATGATAAACACACATGTCCATTGCATTATATAAAGTTATATCATATCCTTTTTAATAGCCCCAGAGTATTCTATTGTATGTATGTTTCATAATTTACATAACTACTGCTGGACCTTTAGATTGTTTCCAATCCTTTTTCATTATAAATAACCCTGAGATAAACATTCTTGCTCACATCTCTTGGTGTAAATGCCAGATACTTCACCAAGCGTATTTGCTAAGATGAATTCCTACATGTGAAATTCCTGGAACAAAGGATTTTTTTTTATTTAAATGTTTATATCTATTAATCTACTGCTTTTCAGAAAGGTTATAGCATTTACACTCCTACCTATATAATTTAAGAATTTCCACTCATTGATGATAACAATGGTGAAATAATCATGACAATAGCTAACATTTATTGAGAGCTTATTGTGCATGGAACACTCTGCTCAGTGTTTTACATGGATTATCTCATTTAATCCTCAAAACTGCTCCATGAAGTAGGTACCATTACTGTCCCCATTTCCAGAGGAGGAAACAGGTTCAGAAAAGTTAACTGACTTGCCAAAAGTCACAGAACCTCTATGTATATTTCATATCTACTACCAAAACAACTTTCAAATCTTATAAAGATGTTCCCCCAAATCACCCATAATTCCATCACCCTAACACAATAACTGTTTATTTTTTCTATTCTCTTCCTTTCTCCTTCTTTCTTCCCTCTCTCCCTCCCTCTTCTCTCTCATCCTTGCTTTCTTTCTCATCAACTCTCATTATAACAGAGATGTAACAGCCATAATCACCATGTAAATGCAATATTGCATCCTATTTTTCTACACCCAGCATTAGTTTGTAAACACAGTCCCATGTCTCTATAAAGCTGTCATGTTTATTGTTAGAAATGGCTGCATAATAGTCCACCAATGGGAATATTAACCATCTCTGCTGTTTGCTGTTGACATTTTAGGTAGATCCCAGCTTCCCCCATTAAGTATAATGCTACCACAAGATTCCTTGTATGTAGAATAATTTTTTAAAGTATTTTCTTGTGCTAAAGCCTCAGGGTGAGATTACAAAACCAAGGGATCTGGGACATTCTTCTAGCTCTTAACATGTTTTGCCAAGTTGGGACTGAATTGGTTTACACAGCTTGTTTGGATGCTTGGGTCTCTCAGGATTCAAAGTTTAGAAAGTCATTGTTACTTTCCCCAGACATCCTGCCTACAATATCACAAATTGGTCTAAACCAAAAAAACCAAACCGTTGCCATCGAGTCAATTCTGACTCCTAATGACCCTATAGACAGAGTAGAACTGCCCTATAGGGTTTCCAAGAAGCAGCTGGGGGTTCGAACTGCCTACGTTTTGGTTAGCAGCTGAGCTTTTAACCTCTATGCCACCAGGGCTCCTCAAGTTGTTCCACTTTAAGAAAATATTTCTTTTCAACAGTTTTTATAGCAGGAAGTTACCAACCATTTCATTCTAGTTGTATCAACAAAGTAGAGGGTCATCGAAAACCAGGGAAACCCTCAATGAAATGAATTGCCACAATAACCACAATAAAGCAGGTCTGGTGACACAAACAGTTAAGTGCTTGGCTGCTAACTGAAAGGTTGGAGGTTTGAACCCAGCCCGCTGCTCAGCTGGAGAAAGACCTGGGGATCTTTAAAGATTGCTTGCTTCCATAAAGATTACAGGCAAGAAAACCCTATGGGGAAGTTGTTCTTTGTCATGTGGAGTCACTCTGAGTTGCAAATGGACTTAATGGCACCTAACAACAACTATGGAGAGGGAAATTATAGTTAATAAAACAATAGCCGCAACAATGAACTCAAACATACCAACAGTCAGGAAGATGGCACAGGACTGGGCAACATTTCGTTCTGTTATCCGTAAAGTCGCCATGAGTTGACTCATTGGCAGCTAACAACAACAACCTAGCAGGAAGTTCTTGTTTTTGTTTTTTTTCATTATTACAAAAGTAATAGATGTTCACTGTAGAAAATTTGGGAGGAAAAACAACACAAATAAACTAAAAACCACCTATAATCCCACCGAGAGCTCTTATTTTTCAATTGTAAAATTAAACCACTCACTGTTTAAAAAAACGAAAGCTCAAAACTGTGTAAAGACAAACGTCCCACATTCCACCCCATCTCATTTTCCAGAGCCAGCTGCTGTTAAATTCAGTCTTTAACCTTCTAGACATTTTCCAAACGCATGCACACTAACATCTTTGTGCTTCTCCTTTTTTCTTTTTCCCTGTTCTTTATAACAAAAATAAAATTCAGAGATACTGTTCCGTGTCTTGCTTTTTTCCCTGAGCAATAGATCATGAACGTTAAGGGATCTTATTACTTCATAGAAACTGAAAAATACCTCATTCATTATTAAAAGAGATTTTCCAAATGGACAAATCCACTAGTAGAATACATTATGTTGCTCGGGTCTAGGTATGGGAACCAGTGGAGAATTTGCCATCTCCCTGGAGAATTTGGAGGAAAATAATTTCACAGCAGTAATTGGAATGTGAGTTAGATATAACGTGACAGCCAGTGGGCAAGCTAGAAAGGCTTAGAGAGTGGGTGCAGTCTCCTGGAGTGCCCGGGAAGTGTGCAGTTTGTAGAATCCCACCTTCATGCCTCAGCCCACCTGTAATGCCTGCTCACCTTTCAGCTGTCTTTCCAAATTCTAATTGTCCTTCCACCTTCAGCTCGTCCAGGGAGTCTTCTCTCATCATGCCAACCTGGAGAGAGTGTCCCTTGCAGTGATCTCTATAGTGTGTACCATCAGTTTAAAATGGCTCTGGCTGGGAGAAGGGGTGTAGGATACTTGGGCTTTGGAGTGCACATAGTCCCTTCACTTAGCTCTGAGATTTCAGACACACAACCTTCACTCATTTGACTCCAACTCATGACAACCTTGTGTGTGACAAAGTA